GAAGGGTCTAGGGGAGGGCAGGGGGAAAGGAGGAGGTTACACAGGACCTGAGGCTGGAGCTAAGTGTAGCCTGAGAGGCTCTGGGGCAGCCTTCCAGAGTGACCTGCACATCCCTCTGGCCGGCACAGCTGACAAATCTCATTCTTTAGCTTTCTAATCTCCTTAGCTTCGACCCTTTACATGCAAAAGGAGTAGAAATGCTTTTATTCCTCTGGGTAATCCTTGTACAGACAGAGGCAAGGTGCAGTTGTACACAACCCGGTTCACATCCAGTCTCTGCTTCACAAACACCAAAACGTGGACACGGCACGGCTGGGAGGAAACGGGGAGTTCCAGATCCGGGCTGGAACCACAGACAAAGGCTGGAGGTTGGAGCAGCAGCTGGCGTAACCCCAAATCTTCAGGAGAAGCCATCAAGAGACACCACGACTGATGGCTTCCTCTGCATATTGCAACACATCTGCTTGGGCCGTGATCCCTGGCCAGGATTGGGCAAAAGGAGCAAAATGCCGTCCCCTTCCCGAGAAACGTCAGCGCACAGCGTGTGCTTCCGAGGGCTGTTACAGCTGTGTCCTACCCGTGCTCGCTCCAGAGGTTCCTTTTTCATATCCTGTTCTGACCGCTCTACATTTGTCATGTAAATTCATGTCAAGGACGCAGGGAAAAAAAAATAAAGTTGGTATGCATAAAGATTGTAAAATATGAGAATTTCTTAGGGGTTTTAATAAAGCTCAGGGTTAAAACCATGCTCTCACCGCACAAATACATATGGATGATATGCATCATGAGTTGTACTTCAGATGAAAGTTTAAGGTATAAAAATAAGTCATTTGGTTTCCAGCAGCCTTTTGAGATGCTCCTCTGGGGACCTCCCAGCTTTCACGTTCCCTACAGACACCACAAATCGAACACTAGAGCCAGCAACCCTTATTCATCCCAGTAAACTTCTCCAGTGTAAGTCCTTTGGAGTCAGTGGGTCTCAGTGAGAAAGGCCACAGTGAGCAGCAACAGACACAAGCTCTGGCCTCAAGAGACTCTGAAGGGAAAAATTTCTCTCAAACATTGTCCTAATGGCAGAGGTTGGCACATGTTGCAGAACTCTGCAAACCGTGCTTCTTACCTGTTGGAAATAGATGTTTTATTTTCTGAAAAATAGATCTTTTTCCATCTGAAGGCCATGTGTCTGTGTGGACATTGCTCTATATAACTCACACTAAGCATTTACCTGCGAGCAGTTGTCCAACAAAAGGGATAAAAAAAAGATATCCCAACCCAACACAGCATCACGGCTACTGTCTTCATCGCCAGTGATCCTAACAGTGACCACACCAGGACATCAAGGGCAACGTTCAGCGGTCAGACGTGAACAAATCCATGCAAAGAAACACTCCGTGCAGGTGCTTTGGCTCTGATTTTCATGCTGTAGGCTACAGATGTTTTCACAAATTTATCAGACTTGCCACCAGTCAATAAGCAAGGAGTCCTAAGTAATGTGCCGTAGGAAATACATCTCCCTGAGGGAAATACAGAAATACGTTCCCACACCATCTCAGAAGGGAGTGGAATTCTTCAGTGAGTAATATAATCGTCCTACTATAGCCTACTCAAGCTGTCTCTGAGACTACCTATAGCCACTGAGCAAGACCTGCAACACAGTTACTACTGGTTTACAATGCATTAGGTAGAACATTTCTCATTAAAAGACTTCGGTACCGGTTCCTATGTCAAGGTAATCTTCATTGACAGAGTTTCTTATTAGAAGGTGGGCTTTAGGATTCATGTGCATTTCCTCTCAGCTTCTCCGAGACAACATGAAAATCTTTTTTCTTCCAACTGCCAGGATGAGACGTTCCCTTAAAAATATCTCCTGGACTGTTTAAATACCAACATAAGGATTCTCCCAACTGAAGGAAAAAAAAGAGGGAAATATATACAGTATGAAAAATATATATATATATCTATATATCTTTCTGCATCATGAGGTCTTCTTAGAAACTTAGAGAGGACTGTTTGGTGCACACAACAACACCGTCTCCATTACAGACTTCCTTACAGACAGAAGAAAGGGATGTTATGAAAGGGAACTCCTGCAGTGTGACGTCCATGTCGTCTGCTTTTAGGTGAAGCCAGAAGAGACAGGGCCCTCATGGCTTCACCTTCATGTTTCCCTCTCCAGGAAGGGTTTGGTCAATGTCAATGGGATGCTCAGGGGTGCTGCATTCCTAAAGCATAAAAACCTTGTTTCACTTCAGGCAGAGAGATGCAAGTGGATGAAGTATCACAGAGAAAGTTATTTGTGCCTGTTTACAGCACCTCACAACTCACACAATTTGAAGACTCAATATGCAAATCAGTGCCTCCAAGGAACCAAAAAATACAGTTTTCTTGGTCACCAAAAATGCCCTATAGTTTTTGATCTTCATTTACGTCTGTCTATCTACCTCTTAAAAGAAATCTTGAACGTTGCCTGTATGTATTGAACTGTTTTTAGTGTACTGTTAGGAACAGTGAGGAGTTCAGACTTCCCTGAACATGTCCTGAAGGCTTCATATTTATTCAGACAGGAAGGAGCGTACCTTAAAAGATAAATTGCGTGACTACAGAATCAGATATAATTAATACAGTGTGGCCTCGTTCTCCAAGGGAGAAAAAACCGAGAGAGATTATCACCATGAAATACTAGCCACAGACTAGATAGAGTATGAAAGAGAAAGATTAAGGGAGCTCTTGTTCAGATACACATCTTCAGCAGAGTACATTTCACCTAATAAGTCATTTTGGCTCCATCAACCCACCGTTAATCTCTGGTAATGGTGTCCCAAGTTACTGGCTGAGCATAAAAACGTGGAAAATGAATGCAGATCCTGGATACCTGCAGTTGTGACGCTGTTGACACAGCAGAGGCTCGGCGTAGTCCTGCTGCAGCCATGCTTCCTGTTTCTATAAACAGATTCTGTTTGAAAAGGGGCTACTATGGGCACACATGTGCAGTTTATAGCTAGTTTTGTGCCAACGTAAATCAAGCCCAAATGCCATCTCAGTGACATAATGTAAGACTTATGCTTAAGGGAGTCCATATACCCAAGTAAGTGGGTTCCAAAGTAATTAATTTGAGGAGTCCACTTACATTTCAATCTCACAACCAGACAGACTGCCTTGTGGTTCTCCTGGTTTCTTAGTGTCAGACTCCCCAAATTTCACTCTTCCATTTCCTTCACTTCCTCACCTTTCAGGGTCAGAGCTTAACACAGCAAAGGGAAATGAAACAGAGAAAACCAAAACAAATAAGCTGCGAAGCAGATTAAAGCCATGTTTGACATTCAGAGGTACATGGCTCCTTTTGCAGCTAGGGTAAGAAGTAGTGATCATTTTGTGTCCACAGCTCCCAGAGTAAACATGGTTAAAAACTTGAAGTTTTCTAAATGAATCCTCACTTTTAAAAATGTCACAGCATTTTAAATGAATTCTATTTTATGTTCCAGTCAGCTGAATTCTATTTTTTTTCTTCTTAGAAATGGTTTGGGAAGTAGACAGAAACCTTCCTACACTTCCCTCAACCATTGGTGCTCTGAACGCACAGCCTCTGAAGGGGAAGGTGTTTGCAGGGCGAACCACAGAAACGTTGTGCTTCTGCTTGTTAGAAGGGATGGATCAGCCCACTCTGCTCAGTCTGCCAAATGTCTTCTCCCGAGTGGGATCGAGAAAATTGCCACCAGCCCGTGGCTCCTGCAGAATTCCTGCTCTGGCTGTGCCATTAGGCAACACACCACACGCCGGTCTGCTCTGAGAAATTAACTTGCTGAAGTCAGGGTCCAAATCCTTTCCCAGGAAAATCAGAACATTAACTCTCACTACCTTCAGCAGAGGCTGGATTAAATGTAATTCAAGAGACATTCATTCAGTTCTGGAACAAAATGGCTCATCCAGAAGCAGATTCAAGAGGAGAGATGTTTTATGGGAGGTAATTAGCTGTTGCTTACCCCGTTTATATATGCTTCCCTGAGTCAGTGGGCATGAGGCCATTTAGCAATTCATGGGATCAACATTAAACCAGGGATTCCCTTGCTTTCATGGCAGAGAAAGCTGGAACATGTTCACAAAGCCAATACAAAGGTAATAAAAGGTTATTAGCTTGGTCCCACAACATCTCTTCCTATAATATGCTCACACCTCATTGAGGAGGTCAGAGGGATTACAGTGCATTTTTGCAAATCCTGGTCTTTTGTTACATTGCACGGATTCCATATTCATTCAGGTGATGCTGGTGCAGAACCTGTTCCTATCAGACTGTCTATTTCAGTCTGCATGATTTTTAAATAACAAAGGATGGTGATAACAAGGACATTTCCAATGAGACCCCTCTGGTTCATTTTAAATGTTCAACCTCGCTTTTGGAAAGGATTTCAGCTCTGGTTCAGATTTAGTCTGACGAATGTGCAGCACGTGCCAGGGCTGCCCCAGTACTTAATGCATGTACCTTGAAGAGTTTCTGTAAAGGTCATCATTACAGCATAACTGATATGTAATAAACGAATATGAGAAGCGAGTAAGAGGTCAGACTTCATGGACTTGGCAAAAAATGCCCAGAAAAAACAATATGAAAGCAGGTGTCAGAGTATCAGAAAGCATGACAATGACTAACCTCTCCTGGTGAACAAGTGTTTACATAGCTAAAAGTGTTATTAAACTACTAAGGCCAAAATGAAAGACTCTCACTCCCAAGTGGATTATTGCATTTCTTCTTCTTTCTCGTTGTGGCTCCTAGAAAGTCACATTTCAGAAAATGATGCCATGGTTTTGAAAACTCTAATACAATTTGCTGAACATCAGTAGCTTTTTCCGCAACAGCTTCAACAGGCATACAATGCTTCCATGATTATGAAGATCTGAGGGATGAACACAATTTTTCTTTTTTCTTTTTTTTTTCGGTTACACGTGGAGTTCTTCTTCTGTGCTTGCCCCGTGTCTGAAGAGATGCAAAGAGAGGGGAAAAATATGGCTAAAGCAGTTATTCAATAAAATAAAATGTGCATGTGTGTACTCACATGGAAACAAAGAAAGCATGCAGAGTTAAGTTTGTTATAAGAATCTCCTTTATTTTAGAGGAGTAAATGTAATGATTGTAGGATTTTAATGTTTATGTAAAGATAATGAACAGGTAGAATAACCGAACAAAGCCATTAAACAAGACTAAACTCCCCAGACACAATTTAACTTAATTAATGCTTACATAGGACTCTCTTGCTCATGTCTGAAGACAATTCTGCCTTCAGAAAAATCAAAATAAGTGTTCAGAGTTTTAAAGAGCAGGTCTGTAGCTCAGGGGTGAAACAGAAGTAGCTTTTGGACCAGTCATCCCAAACTTAGAACCAAACTCTTCTTCTGCTAGGAGTCAAATGGACAATTCTTCCACCTTGGAGACAGAAGGGTCCTGAAGGAAAACGCCCTGCAGTAATCAGCCACATTTAACACAGCAACAAATGTGGTGAGAATGGGGAAGTTAAAATGAATGTGCAAGTAGGATAGAAAGAGAGAAGGGGCTTGAGGCTTATCTAAATTTTCTGAGCTTTTAGGAAGGGAAATATCTTCTGTCACATCCCATCTCTTGCCTGCAAGATAATTTTGCAATTTCCAAAATTTTACCAGCCAGAAAGAGAACGCTCTACTTCACACAGGATGGTTGGATACCCTGTACTGATGGGATGATGTTGTATGCGAGGTGAGAGATCTCTCTGGGCCTTCTCATGTCTGTGGTTGTGACCACTACCAAAAAAAAAAAAAAAAAAAAAAAAGTAGAGAGACCCAAAACTGGTAGTTTTAAAGTTGGAAGAAGAGGTGGAACAAGTCTTAAGAGGATGCAGGAGGACACAGGAAAGAAATCTGGTGAATTGTGGATATGGATCTTTAGGTCAGTGTAATCAGCAAAGGATCGTGCAGTGAGCCAGGAATGAAATCATGGCTTGAACATTGATTTTGTGCCACCAATCAAGCCCAGCGGGGAGCAGACATTTAAAGGGTGGGCTTAGCCTGGGTTTTTCATAGTTAGGAGCACACGCAGTCATTCTAGCCAGAGAGCTGAAGGGAAATGATTTATGAGGACAGAGCTAAATGCTTATTGCTAGGTTAAACAACAAGTAAGGGCAGACATAACAGTCTACAAATACCCATAGGAGTAAATGTCAAGGAGTTTGAGGAATTGTCTTGAACAGCAAGATAAATTTCCTAAGGCTGAGGTGCACTGGCTTGTGATACGCTTGCCCAAACAGCTGAAGTTTTGTTGGTTGTGATTAGCCTGAGCACAGCCAGAGCAAACAAAAGGCAAAGAACAATTCTGCACTGCTGGACAGGTGAAAGGGTTTATTCAAATCTGCCCCACGTTCAGGTCAGTTCCACTTCTCCATCACAGTAGCAGGTATCTGCAATGTTAAACAAGGTTATAGGGGTTCAAGACAGCATTCTGGAGACACGCTGCAACTCCTTTTCCCATCATGATTTGTGTGTCAGCAGCAATTACGAACCTTACTTTATCAAGAAAGTTTCAGGTTGATTGTAGAAATGAAAAAGTCACATAGCTGCTATTGAAAACGAGTAAGCACATACGATCACTCATAGCTAGAAAGACTATCCACCAAAGCAGTTTCACTACAATCAACATCAAATTTATCCTACACAGAGCATGTGTTAAAATTACACCCTATTTCATGGCCCCTAAAATAGCTCTTAAATGGATATGAACTGAACTCTGTGCTGAGCATCTGTGTGAGGGGTGAGAACCAGCCCAAGGTCATGTCTCCAGGAGGCAAAAACTTCAGGAGAAGCCCTGGGGGATGCGCCTGATGCCCCAGCTGGGGCAAAACTGCTGGTGGGGCCAACGGAGAAGGAAACCAAGGGGAAGGGAAGGAATGCAAAATGAAAAATAAACTGGCTGGAAAAAAACAAGGCCCTTTGAACTTTGGTTCACAGCATGGCATTGCAACTGGGGCAGGGTCAGGAACTGGAGGTTACAACTAGCAAGGTGGAGATGGAAAATGGGATTGCCTCTGAATTCTTCAGATTGTGAAACTGTCGCCTAGCTCAAGGAAATAAATACAGGCAAAGGGGAGAAAACAGCTCCTACGTATGCAGTCCTGAATTGAGGTTAAGGGGGAGGAGAAAGGAAAACTAAAACAAAGCAAATGCACAGCCACAGGATACAAATGTAACCCTAAGATACCCTGTATCTCCCTCTTTTCTGGCAGATGCCTCTTTCCCAGCCACAGCAGATTGATTTGTGTGCAGAGAGCGGGCAGTTTCCTTACTTCTTCCTGCCCTGGCCAGGATTCTGGCTCACTAATGTGGGTGTTGCTTACCTCTGGGCTGTCAGGAACGCAACTCACACGTAGCCCCAACTTCTGAAAAACAATCCTAGTGCTGGGTGCCCAGTGACAAGAAAGAAGAGACAAACTCTTCCTTGGCCCCTGCATGTATGAAGAAGGTAAATTCCTTGTGAACACACAAAAAAATCTATCAGCCATAGTATTTTCAGAAAAAAATATATATATATATATTTTTTTTCAGAGGAGCGACACGATTTATTCCTGTGTCAAGGTGGGACTGAGCAAAACCCAGGGAAGCTGGGGAGGAATTTCTTTTGTCTGAGCATCATGAGGTGGTTCAGTTGATGGCTACGTGGTGTCAGTGCATGCACAGGACAAAAGGCATTGCTGACCTGCAACCTGTCTCCCTTCCTAAGGCTAGGAAATTGCTGACCATCCTAGAGGAAAGTTCACTCAGAGTCATAACAACGTTTCAAAGCATTTTTCCAAAAGAGTGTTCAAGTACAAAGAACCAAAATCAAGGAAAACCAAACCAAAGCCAAGGAACCCACCTTCAACTCCCTACTATTTCTGTCAAAGGTTTACGAGAGGCAGGAAAAAAATTATTGAGGAAGAGCCTTGTAATTAAATCCTTAACCTGAGATTCAGGTTCTTCTTCTCACCTTAGCTTAATGCCTATAAAGCATTCACAACAGGAGGTGCCTTATATGTGTGCAAACACGATGTTGCTTAAAGGTACACGATAGACTCCAAAGGTCTGTAGTCCTGTGGCACAGTCAGGAGGCTACAGAGGGAGCAGCTGACTGAGTGTGCAGTGGCATTGTTCCTGCAATAAATATATGTAAGAAAATTCAGGCAGTGTCATGGCATGCAAAGTTGTGCCAGGGAGAGATCCTGAAATCTATTGTGTCCATCTCTGTGTTGAAGATGGAAAGTGTGTTCCACCTTCCAGACTTCTGTGGGGCTTTTTTTCCCCCTAGCTTTTTAGAAGAGCAGGAAGCTAAACCTTTACCTGAACAGAGCCCTACAGATCATAAACTTTGGCTCTCCCAAAGATGCATTTTCCCTCTTACAATAAACTTCAATGAGCAAAACACCTTCTGCTTTTTCCTTTTGTTTCATTAGTTTTGTGGTGTATCATAGCACATCACACTAAAACCCAAGGTAGGAAACAAAAAGAAGAAAAGAATCTGTTCTGTGAATCTTTACTTTTGTCTGGAATCCTTTTCTGGATGTTTATGGCATCCCATAAAGTTGCTGAAACATGCCTGCTGTATTTTTAATTGTCATTTTAAATGCCAAAACCCAGAAGTCTTGCTTATATTGTATGTGAACAGTGTCTGCTTATGTTCAAACCCTCAGGCACTTAAAATAACTCTACTGTACACAGAGAACGTTGTTCATTTTGTTTTTACAATTTCTGCCTGTGTAGAAGGAGCTATAATGTCCTGAGAACATAAATGCATGTTCATAACCAAGGAGCGAGATCACAGCTGGAATCTACCTGAGCCTTGGATCATATTTCAGCAGTGGCACGAAGCGAAAGAGCAGCTTATTTCTCTGTTTAATTTACAAGAGCTGCAACTGGAACAGCACACACTAGACTCACTGATGTAACGCACAGGTGAGTGCGTGTTACAGGTCCACCTCTGTGCCCGATCCCCAGGGAATATCAGGCTGTTTCAGCCAGACTTCAGAGCCGTTGCTGCTATAGCCCGAGAGGAACCTGGCCTTAACCCTGGTGGATTAGTAAAGGTGGCAGCTGCCATAACAGACTTCTGGACAGCCTACAAATTTGGGGCATAAAATGGGGGTCTTTTGATTGATTCCAGTGTGTTTCATATCAAGTGCCCATTGTTTTGTCTTAAAGAACAAACCATTACAGAGAATTCATGAGCAAATTTGCTTCTTTCTTTCAAGGATTAAACAGGAGCAGATCATAATTTCCTTTAAATACATCTATTATTCATCAGGATTCAATAAGTTTTATTATGGGCTGAGAAACAGCACATATATCTTTATACTCAGTTCCAATCTGCTCCCTACTTGTGTTCTGCAACACACATTTTATGTTTAGAAGTGATTGGCCATGAATGTCACAGGATAATACGTGTTCCCTGAGTAAAGACACAGACAAGGATCTGGCCAATGTTCATTTTTCACATTAATTTGTTGTAAATAATTTCACATGCAATTTTGCTACTCCCTTTCTGCAGGAAAGGAAGCCTTCCTACCTAACCTCTGCGAGTAGGTTAGCATAGCGTGGCTTGCAGAAAGCTGACATGGGGTATTTATGAGCGGAGAGGAAGTAAATTAATTTCAGTGTTTGATTCAACATTGGAGAAAAGCTTTTTGCAGTATTTGTTTACCCACAGAAATAAGAGAAGGCACAGTCTCTCCTCTAGTCCAGCCACGTTACTAGGGTAGGGAAATTCCTCTGAGTTAGGACTACAGACAAAGGGTTAAAGAAAGAGAAGCTTCCCTTCCCAGTGTGCATCCCACATAGCTCTCCTGTAATAGCCATCATTATTTGTGACATGCGCAGTAGGGGAATATAGGTGGAGAGATGAAGCCATGCATGTAAGGTAAACACCCTTTTTTTAAGCATCCACCATTTTTGCAATGATATGTACAAGGGTCATTTGGGGATTTCCTTCCCCTGAAGTCTGGGTTTCCTGAGAGGAAGGAGAGCTGAAATGCAGGAACAAGCGGCTGCACACCATGTCCAGCAGGGTAGGAGACCTTCCTTATTGACACAGGTTTATGAACTGCATCTGAATCTCCAAACTTCCTGATGTTCTCCCTTTGAAAGGAGGGATGCTGGGGAAGGAGATGGGTGGGGAAGTTGAAGAGGTGGTTCTGTCCTTTAAAGGCCTTTCAGGCCCAGCAAAACGGCTCCCATACTCTTAAATCTACCATAAAAAGTAGGTTGCAATACAAGTGGGAAATACAAGGAAATGTTTCAGCTAATAAAATGTGCTGGACTGGCACCAAACTTCTGCTTAAAAAGCTGTTTGCAATAAACAATGATTACTTACAGTGTCATTGCAAGATCATTAGAGGACTCAGAGATCGAAGGGTACCTGGTTCTTCTGGCGGAGACCTGGAAAACAGTGTCACAGATCAGCAAACACCAACAGCAAACAACATATTTTTTATGAGGCCTGTTAGAACAGGAGGAAATGCTCAAAACCAGACTGCTGGGCCATTCCGTGACCTAATCCAGGCCAGAGAGAAGCAAATCTGCCCTGTTCACCAGTCCACTGCTGATATAAGAGAAGAAATTAAATTCACTTGGTACCATCAGGTTGTCTGGGCTGTGCTACAGATCGCTTTTAGGCCTCAGAAAGGGTTAAATGGACCCCAGAGAGAATAAATACATTATGCAGCTGTGTAGGTGCTCAGAAGATGAATATAGGTTGATTTTTACAAACTTAACCTATGCAGAGTGAGTCACAATTTGCACCTTGCGTCATTCAGTAAGTGGGCCTTTAGGAAATCAGCTCACTATGAATGGGCTGACAGCACCCAGGCAGCAAGGGCCCGGCTCTCCTGCCTACAGGCCGCCCATCGGAGGGAGCAGAGATGCTGTTCCCCATCTTACGATGTGACAACAACAATGGGAGCCAAGCAAACAATGCCATGCTTGTGGCTTTGCTGCATCTCTCTTAAAAGGTCAAAAGGTTTGGGCTGAAACAAATGCTTTCATATCATGGACGATTCATTCTTAATCATAAATGTGCATTATTCTCATCGTAACTGCTGCCGTGCATCATAACATTGTTTCCTGATTCAATTATGCCTCACAGCACCTTTTTAATTAATACCTTCATTGGCAAAACCTTGCAGGTTTAGATAAATAAGATTTGCTTTTTTTTGCATTTCAATCATAAGCTTCAGCATGAAGGAAATCTCTCTATTTTGTAGTCACCCGGGGAAAGAAAAGCAAGTAGAGGAGGTCTACATGCTCACAAGGATCTCTGCACCGAGGAGACAGAATAATCATCTTTTGTTGAATACGAAAATAATGAAAAACAAAGTAAACAACACCCTTTTGTTCTGCGTAAGAAAGGCAGGGCTTTAATAGTCTTAAACGAGATAGAAAATTTCCATCCAAATGGAACCATGGAGTAGGTAGACACATTACAACGTTTTGGAGCTCAGTGATTAAATTTAATACTGTGCCAAACAGTGATTAGCTGATGAAGGGCATTCCTAAATGGGATAGAAACAAGGGAAGTGTGGCTCCAGTATAAGATTGGGCCTCCAGTACAGCTTGGTGCTCAGCTTTCCACTTTAATAACAGGGTCAGATGAAAAAAAAAAAAGTTTAATTTGATTTATTTCCCTAAGGAAACTCAGTGGAATAGTAAACACAGGCTGACTGGTACATATTACTAAAACTTCAGCTTCGGGGTCAGATCCAAGAAAAGGGCTTAGGTACCTACTGAAGCGCAGCAATTTACCCTTTTCTTCAGCATTTTTCCAGCTCGCTAACTCAATCCCCCTGCTCAGAGTACTGGTTCCTATGAATCCCATTACCAGACACTGAACTCCCCCAACTCACTGTGCAGGCAAAGTAGCATCCTAATTAAAGCTTCTGAATCCCAGCCTCAGAGCTGGGGGCCTGTGTCCTTTATGGATCTTTCCCTTAGTGCATTACAGTCCTCTGCTGAGCCCAGCGCAACATATTGTCCCTAACACTGCAGATACGTGGCTAATGATCCAGGAGAATAGGAGCATAAATCCTTTTTAACTTAGCTATGTTCTCTCCTAAGCCTGTCCAACCCAGCAAGCATGCAGGTGTGCAGGGAAGTCAGCAGCTAGACAAGAGCCCCATGGACACAAAAAGATTGGGTCTGCTTCAGCAAGCTGTTTGTGCTTTGGCAGAAGAGGACAAGCAAGATTGTCCCCCGGTTCCATAAAATGAGAAATGGCTCCCTGGTGTCTGAGAAGTGACCTCTGAAGGAAATAAAAATTTCACTTCCATTTCTGATAAACGCACGGCTCCAGCCCACCCCTGTGTCTGAAGTATCGGTACCTGCAGGCTCACGTACGCCAAAAACACAACCAGAATTGAACTGTCTGTGCAGACATGACTGCCCTACACACAGCTTTCCTCTGCTTTCTTTTCTTTCATCACCTATTCCTACAGTCCAAGAAAAGGCCGTCATCATTTCATTTTGAAAGAAGTCCTCTTACTTTAAAACCCATTTTGGACCAGATTCTGTTCCTTGCTACATTAGTATAAATCTGCTGGTTTTTAATGGACTTTCTCCAATGATATTCTGACGTAAGCAAGACCAAAATCTTATTTTGGTGAGAATTCACTGCGTTATGCTACTGCTCAGTGTTGGTGCAGGCCACAGATTCTGGTACAATCTCATCTCTTTGTGTGGAAGAGAATTCAGAGTTGAGAACTACTATAATAGCAATAGATTGTTAAAAATGATAACTTGTACATAATGTCTCAGGAACCTTGCTTCAAATTTAAAAGCCATTAATTAATTAGCAATAATTAATCACTAAGCATGTTATGTGGGCTAAGTTGGCTGCAGTTATCATTACAAAAGATAAAAAAGCCTAGCAAAAACTCCCGCGGAGTCTCTATTTAGCACTTGAAATGAATGGTTGTGTAAGGCTCCTATCAGGATCCCCCATCACAGGCAACTTCCCTGCCTGCCAGAGGGCCCGGGAGCTTTTCTCCTCAGCGGGAGAAGTGAGTGATTTGTACCTCAGAAAAGTTTCAGGCTTATTTTTACGTATGATTTGTGTCCCAGGTGGTGGTACGAGGTAAATCCTCGAGGCTCTCTCCGCAACGATCGAATGCCAAGAAGTGGAGCAGCTTACTGGAACGGCAGCAGCTTCTGATGTCTTTGAGAGGACAGTTTTAACGAGAAAGGCACAATATTTTATTTTATGTGAAGCCAGGCTAGACCTTTTTGGCATAGAGTCCGTCTGCCTACCAAGGGTGGGGTAGGTATTTACCATCTATCTAATGACTTCCTACTGCAAGTGGGTCAGGCAGTCCAAATAACTAGCCAAAAGTGCCTTTGGTCGAGTCTGGCAGAAGTCTCGCCTGTAAGTAAATACGTCCCCCTGCTACGGCGTGCACATCCTCCGTCATGTGATGTCTCAGCCGTTTCCTGGTCCTGCCCCTCCAACAAACACTTCACTTTATCTCCCTCCGATTGTAACATCGGCAGTTTCACCACCCAGGCTGCTGCTGCTGCACTTTCTAGTGTCAATGGCCCGCTGTGAACTGGAAAAATACCTACTGAAAAAAAACAGTCCAGCTCTTGAGTGGCTCCTTCTTTCTCTGCTTTGTTGTAGCACGCTGGGCAATCATGCAGTTTGTCAGCTCTGCTTGTCCTGCTCCAAACCGAATGCCTCCGAATCCAGCCGGCACAAATCGTCTGGTTTTAAACCAAAAGTGCAGCAAAAGATCGGCTTGCTGCAGGTGATTGGTGTGCTGCATGGCTTCCCCTCATCCTCAGCCTGGATGCCTGATGTCCAAACACGTGGGCTGTGTTTGTTCTGGCACTTGGAGTGGGGTAAAAGGCAGTGTGTGTGTGTGGTGGGGTGGTAAATCCCAAGCTCGGCAAGAGTTCAGAGGTGCTGCCTTGCACAATGGTAAGAAATAATTCATTTCTGGTTGAAATGCTAAAAAAAGTAAGTAACTTGGATGGTAAGAGATGACTGCTAGCTTCTATCCAGCTCCCACACGCATGGATGGAGCAGGCAGACCTGTCCGGAGGCAAATCTCACCTCTGCGCCGAGCAGAGGCACCAGCCTGCAACAGCCTCGGGGAGAGCTACTGGGAAATGATGCGTGGTTCTTGAAAAGATCCTACAAGTATTCAGAACACAGCTGTTTGCCAAAAACAGAACAGTAGGTCTTTGTTAACCATAAACATTTTGGGTGATGTTGTTCAAAAATTTTGCCCCAGTTCACTAAATTGTCTAGCTCTGAAAGTGTGTGAAAATTTTGACAAGCTTTGCAGTAACAACTCCTGCTAAGCCAGTAAAATTATTCCGGCAGACTACAGCTGAACAACAAAAAGAGAGGTCCTGAGGAGCAAGGAGATCCTCTAGATATGAATCAGCACGACCAAGAGATGTCACCATGAAGGACTCAGTCCTTCACTGGAAACCGAGTCAGAAGAACAAGAAGATGCTCGCAGACTCGGTGGGGTCTGGATTAAACTGATGCCTTCCAGGGAACGGCTTAATAAATACTGGCAGTTTAGAGCTGCCCCCTTTAAACTAAATTTCTGAAAATGAACAGGTTATTTCATAGATCAGCCATGTTATCGTGAAAAGTTTTTGCTGCCCTCCTTTCAAAACAAGCACACTCCTATAAAGGATGAGCGAATGCCAATATTATTGCTAAATGTATTTGAAAATTAATACTGCAACTGCGTGTCATCTAAAATACCCTGTTTTGATCTTCACAAGGTTAGCCCATTTGCTTTGCCTCATAAAATAAACCACAAACACAATACTGAATGAGTCAGAACACAAAGCTGACTCCGAGGGAAGGGATAAATGCCTCCAGAGGCCAGCAGACGGGCGGCACGGAGCAAAGTTAAAGGCGCAGCAGTGCGTGGCAACAGGTGAATGAAGAAGGGCTGGGGTGAGCAGAGAACACTTTTCTGTGAAAACTCCTTTTTTTCAAGCTCCTGCATCTCCTGACGAGGTAAATGACTCTTGCAGGGTCTGGCGCACCTGATGGAGGGAGCAGCGGCTGAACTGGAAGCCGTGAGCTACCAGATGCAAACTCTGAGGGGGAAGGTGGCCCACAGGCTCCGACAGCTTTTGGAAAGAGTTTCCAACAGGTTCATACAAGAAGCCCTTTCAAAAACGCTCCATAAAATGCACCTGAAGAAAGACCGTTAGGAGGAGGTTCGGCTTCGTTCTGCTCTCTTCTGTGTAGCTCAGGTGCTGTTTTTTCACACGCAGGAACACATGCACAGGCTTAGCACACCACACAATGCCTCACTAAAGTCATCAAATAGTGGTTATAACTTCATCCAAGATCAACAAGGTCTCTTTTCCACAAGCAACCCTTTGTGTTTGGGAAGCCTTTGCCCTGAATTTTATTG